AAAACCCACCAAAGACTATACACTTATCAATGTAACTATTATTCAAACCATACAATTATCCACACTATTAATCCACATAAACTAACCGATCACATAACATTTCAACAATTTTGTCTCTACAGTCAGTGGTTATGGTACGGTTAGTAACTCTTCTACAGTTTAGAGAATTATGGTTTTAAAGTTACAATATCAGTTAGTACACATGCAAGGTGAAATAGTAATTTTAGTATTTTTCACGTAATATCAGTAGTTATGGTACATGTCAGTGGTTATGGTACATGTGACGGACCGAGTACCTCCGCCAATCGATGCTCCTAGCGCTTGCCAAGGACTCCGAGCACTCCAATCGACACCAGCACTGCGGACCCCACTTCCAGTGATGCAGCTGCGCCGGGGTCTTGCCGTCTCTCACCCACCCTGGATCCATGACCAGGATCCAGCTCCCAGTGGGTGAACCTCTCCTAAATCCAGAGAGCGTAGCAGGAACAAATCAAGCTCTTACAAGAGCTTACTCTGGGGAGTAAGTGATTATAGCAATCCCCAGAGTGTAGCTATCCCTTCCCCCAAGCATGAGCCAAGGCTTCAAGAAAGGTGCAAGTAGGTCTGGTTTATTGAGGGCTACCTGACCGGTATTTATGCAAGTGTCCACCAGGTGGACACTCCCCTAGGGGACCTGATGGAACAATGGGACACATATTGGATATTAGCCAATCACAGACAATACAAACAAAACACTCCCACAGTGACATCACAATCCCTCCTCTATATCCTGGAGATAATTAGGACGTAATCAAATTATCTCCCAGGACAGAAGACTCCATTAACCACATGGTTACAAAAAGACATAAAATTACACAATGTTAAAATTACTACATAAAACATATACATGCAACATATCCCCAGATAGCTTAGATCTGAGCGCACATTATTACTGAATGGCGCTCAGATCACATACATACAGTTCAATCGCCATGGAGCCAAAGTCTTTTTCATAGTCTTTCATTACACGAATAGGCTCCATGGCATAGCTATCTGGGGTAGCACTACTCTCATACTGAAAGTCCTGAACTCCCCGGCAGAAATACACAAATAAACCTTTCTGCAGGGTAAAATACAACTATCAGCACAGGGGCCATAGTCGGAAGGCAGGAGGCTAGCCAGTAGTCCCCTCCAGGCACAAGTATATATCAGTGGTTATGGTACCGTGAGCTATTTTACACTATACACACAATTTACACGTCTGCTAAACGGCAGAGCTCAAGCTTTCTAGCAGGACATACAATTCACCAATTACAACGTATTTAACAACATTTACAGCAAACCCAACTACTCTAAGTGGCCAGTACTTCGAGAACTATCAAACTATTTACACCAGGATTCGGTTAGTCTACGCTGCCCAAGCACCACATATAGCGAACTAGTGGGCGGAATTTACAACAGTACCCATTAAGGCCATCTACTCTATCAATAGTCTAGTGGCTGAATTTACAACAGAGCACAGGTTGAGAGCTAGCAGATGGAATGTACACCAGAATCTGCTTAGTCTCGCCGGCCTCCCCGACCTAGCGTCCGAAATTTACACCTAGACACGCTAGTCAAGACAGGACACCGGTGTCCGGCATTAAACTTTTTACACCAAGATTTAGCCTGACCTAAACCACCTATATTAGACGGGCTGACTACAGAGCATCTAATTTCCAGATAAGCGGTGCGCCTTCGCTTCTTCTCTCCAGAGGGAGGGGGCAGTCCAAAAAAACGGTTCCAAATATAAAACCCCTTGTGGGCCTACCGCTCTAACGGTATCAGTCTTACCTCTTAGTTCCTGGACGTGGGTTCACACTCATCGACAGGACACCCCGGTACTCACTGTGTAGAAGCCAATGATCTCCTGGACAACAGGCCAGTGGCGCCGAGACGAAGGGAGGTCCACGCAGTAGAAGTCCAGGGGTGCAGCCGTGGAGAATGTTGGTAAAAAGTTTACCGTCTCAAATCTCTGCGCCAGCTTCCGTGCAATGAGGTTCCCGGACCCAATGCACCAAAAATGTTACCGGAGGAATAACAGGAACAAACCGCAGAAACTACACATAGAGATATGGACACAAGTCTTCAGGAAGTAACAGGTCTTTTATTTACACACCAATCGGGTCTCACACTGAACTTGTGTTCAAAAGGTATGAGCCCAGAGCATAGTTTGCACAGGCTATTTATTAACAATAACTCCTCCCATTCATAGCTCCACTCACACATACCCTTAGACCAATCAGTGAACAGGATATTCAGGATCACCTAACCGTATGACTCCTTTTAAGGACAAAGGAATGTGACTACAGTTGATGCACATGCTCAGTACATTGATGACAGTATTTTAGCTACATGTAACTAACTAACAGATCCAACAAACACCTGTACTTGTATATGTCACATGGAGATTTCAGGCCTACTAAATTTTGAACCATGTTGAAATCCCATCACATAGGTACTGAGGCCTGGTAAACATACATAACAAATGCTGAAAAGTATAACCGAGGCCATGTGGGCTGACAATAATAAACTACAAATATGAAAACGGAATATGGCATTGCATTTATTATACAAAAGAACATAGGGTGACTAACTAAATTGCATATTATAAAATATGATATGTTCAAATACAGTAAGCATAATGCATTAACCGAATTGAGGTATCACTGTGATGCTGAGATTGAAATAGGCCATATTTCCGTTAGTAGTGAAATTCACCATATCCGAGTGATGAAGGAATACGGACTGAAATGCTTTGTCCCACCCAGCATCTTGTGTGTTTCTTTGTCCAACCACCACTTTGTTCGTGTCTTTTCCCCCAGCCCCTATGTGTGTCTCTTTGGTTTCTTTGTGACCCCTGGCCACCTGTGTGTTTCTTTTACCTCTTCCCCCAGCACATCTGTGTTTCTTTTTGTCCCCCGCAGTCCTTCTGTGTGTCTAATTGCTCCCTCAGCCCTCCATGTGTCTCTTTGTCCTCTCAGAAGTGCTGAGAAGAACCTATTTGTCCCCACCCCTCTGTGTGTCTCTTTGCCCCCAACCCTCTGTGTATCTCTTTGTCCCCGAACCCTCTGTGTCTCTTTGTCCCCCCTGCCCCTATGTATTTCTCTTTGGTCTCTTTGTCCTCCCCAGGCCTTCTGTATGCCTCTTTGTCCCCTCAGCCCCTCTGTGTGTCTCTTTGTCCCCCTCAGACCCTTTTTGTGTCTTTTTGTCCCTCCCAGCTCTGTGTGCCACTTTGTCCCCCCGTCCCTATGTGTTTTTCTCTTTGTCCCCTCTGTATGATTCTTTGTCCCCACCCAGCCCACTGTGTGTGTTTATCCCTAAGCCACTTTGTGTGTCTCTTTATACCCCCTGCCCCTCTCTGTGTCTCTGTGTCTCTTTGTCCAGTCAGCCGTCTGTTTGTCGCTTTGTACCTTCATGTAGCATGGCCGAGCATCTACAGTGAGCAGCTTCCTGTCAGGCTGGGTAGAGGATACAGAAAATCTTCTACCATGGTCCGCTTGGCTACACTACATGGAGTGACAGGCATGAGGGGGAGCACTGTGCAGTGCGCTCCTCTCCTGCTAGTCACACGGAGACTACGGCCCTTGAGTCATTGCACCCTAGGCAGCTGCCTAGTTTGCCTAGTGGTATCACTGGCCCTCGGTGGCAAGTAGCTCAGGATTACAAAAATCTAAAACCTGATATAAACATATATTTTGGGGTTTGGCATGCAATTTGTAACATGTTATTTTCTAAACCTTAAGGAATCATTTTATTCATTATTAATTTGTGATTATTATTATTTATTTATTTTTGCAGTGCAGATAATAATAACAAACTGGCTTCAGGTACCCCAACGGCATTCCTTGAGTTGCTTGGCTTATCTAACAAGTAAGGTAGTTGCTAAGCACTGCACATTTTTTGGTTTCATAGGTACAAGATGAAGTTACATGCAGACATTCTATACTGGTTACGATTTGCTGGATACATGCTTAAATGTGAGAGAGATAACATCACCCCTTATATCCCCATAGCTACTCCCGATTGAGGTTAGTGAGGTTGGTGCATTAAGACAGGTAAAATTTCAAGATTGCCATGTTATGCTGAGACAATTTAAGGCTAGTTAGGTCGCTGGTTTCAGAGAGTCCCCTTGTGGCTGTTTAGCTTATGCCCTCTGTGGGCTCAACATTGTCCCACTGTTATCCGGTGGTCTGCCTGTGTTGCGACTCCCGCGGGGTTGGTTGCATAGGCGTGCGCATGGGGTGTGTTGGGTGTGCCTGGGCACACCCTAATCCCCGCAGCACGCCTCTGGAGTGAGACCAGCAGGGGAGATCTCAGGATCTCATGCAGAGAGGGGGGAGGAGCTCAACCAGCAGCTCCTCCAAGTTTCTCTCGCGAGGTCGGAGCGTTGCCGCAGCAACGCTCAGATCTCGCGAGAGTGAACTCTAGCCCCGCAGGCAAGAGTTCACTCTCCACTGGACCACCAGGGATGGCAGCAGCACGATCCCCCCTCCCTACATAAGGTAATAAGGGGGGGGCGAATATTAAGTAATGTACCCCCACCTCCACCCCCCACAATCACCCACACACCCCCACACATACAGCACACACACAGCACCTACACACACACATACAGCACCCACACACACACACATACAGCACCCACACACATACAGCACCTTCACACACACACACACACAGCACACACACACATACAGCACATACACACACACATACACACAGCACACACACACACAGCACCCACACACACACAGCACCCTCACACACACAGCACCCTCAAACACACAGCACCCTCTCACACACAGCACACTCTCACACACATTACACAAACAGCACCCTCACACACAGCACACTAACAGGACCCTAACAAACACACACACAGCACACAAACAGCACCCTTACACACACATCACACTAACAGCACCCTCACACACAGCACCCTTACACACACAACACCCTCAAACCACCTTCACACAGCACACACACACACAGCAGTGTATGTATGTGTGTATATATATATATATATATATATATATATGTGTATATATATATATATATATATATATATATATATACACACACACATACATATACACGCGGCGTGTGTTTGTGCTTTAGGGTGCACACTCTAATGCAATAGGCTGTGCACGCCTATGTTTGGTTGACAAGTGCTGCACAACAGTCCGGGAGTGATATGCGGCTTACGGCTTGATGGACCTGGACCCCGGTGCGTCTGGAGAGTGGCATGTCGCGGGTTATGGGCTGATGGTTCCTGTTGTTTGGGCGAGTGCTGGCTTGCTATGCCCTGTTTGTTGCTGCCGGTTGCTGGCCCCTCTCCTCAGCGGAACCGAGAGCTGGAGGAAAGTCTCCAGAGGTAGGTGTCCATTAAGATGCTAGGGTGTGTGTGCAGCTAATCTTTGTGGGTGTCGGATCGATTGGTTCTCTGGTCCAAGTTGGTTGTGGTGGATGTGGGGGGGCAGCTTTCATGTACGCCATTCTTGGTGCTGTTGTGCGTGGCCTCCACCATCTTAGGTTCATCACTCGGATTGTGGATCAGTTTGGCAGGCCTGAGTCTCAGTCTCTGTTTTAGTGGTCGGGTCATCGGGGTGAGGACCGGAATCACCCCTGCCGGTCCATGAGGGGGGAAAAGAGCCGGTTCCTCGAGGGTCTGAGCCCCTGGCTGGACACTGTTAGGTGGGATAGCGGGGCGGCGGACGTCCGCTCCACTCACCGCCGAAGTAGGCCTCAACTTTGGTAGTGAAAATTTCTCCTCCAGGGGACTAATACTCGTTGAGCCAGCCTCACCCTGGATCCAGTGCACTCTGCCCATCGAGGGCCGCTGTTGCCGGTCGGCATAGTGGGCAAAAAATCGTAGTTTTGTGGCTGAACGGGTTAGGTTTTGTTGGAGCTGGTCTGTCTTGCGACCGTTCAGCTTGGCGGTCCGGCCCCGCCCCTAATTTGCGATTAGTTGTGACTATACCACACACTCACACCCTCTTTTTGGACACAAGTGATGCATACTATGCCAATTTTATGATTCTACTTCCAGATTTCTAGGGAGAGATCCCTGCTATACCTGTGAGTACTAAGCTCTATATCAAGCTGCACAATACGTGTAAATGGAGGAGATCTGCAAGCATAGAATGTTAACAATCCTAAATAGGGCTACTGTTATCAGAAAGCATTACAAATGCTAATATCTTAAATAAGAGCACAATGTGCATATTTCCTATACAAAAAATTATATATAATCAGTGACTAATGCACTCACCGGCACAGTATAAGCAATGACTTATGTAATTGATTCCTGCTGGAATTCAGCTACACTTAAATGAAATTACAGATCGTACAAAGAATTGCAGAAAACTTGTTCCCTTAATATTTTATGAGATTGTTCATGAGAGTTTAAAAAAACATACCCGTTGATAGCTTCTTGTTCTATTTTTTTCTATTTCTGGAACTCATACAGAGATTATCATTGATGTGTTATTTTAATCTTTCAATTAAAAGGAATCTGTCATCAAATATGACACAAGTTTGCCAGTTGGCAAACAAATATGTGTATTATCTGCCGTTTTCCTTAAATAAGGATTTACATGTGGCTTTTTGCATGATTTGTGTATGCAGCGCTACAAGTAAATTAAAAAAAATATCTTTGTAGTGTCTCTGTATCTTGTGTTCAGAAATTCAACTGTTTGTTTTATATCTGAAAACTATTTAGATGTGCACAGAATCAGGGCTGCCATCAGAAATCTCAAAGCTTCTTAAAAATTACATTGGCCGGGCCCCCACACCTAGTTACAGACTCCTTGCCAAACATACAGATATACACACAAACTGTCATACACACTGTTTCTGAATGCACTCATACACATTGCCATATACAAGTACAGAATGTAATACACACAAAAGGTCACATACACAGGTAGACAATGTTAGAAACACACACACAGATTAAGGTGGTCTATTTATAGTGCCTCCAATATTTCAAAGTATACTAAATATTATTAATCTCATGATTAGGGAATATCAGTTAATGCAAAACTTTACCAATTACCACACTAAACCTTAGATCTCACCTGAGTTCTTTGGATTCTGTGTAGTGATTCTTATACATTATAGAATTATTTACAATAAGAAAAGATTCTGTAATAGTAAAACAAATCTAGGAATGATTTATCCACACTATCAAGTCAATTACAATCAGGCGTGATTAATCTATCAAGCGACCTAAGGTTATGGTTAAGGCAATGAAAAGTGCATTGCAGGCCAAAACACATATCACAGGTTATGTACAACATCCAACCTTCAAAGGAATAGATCCAGGACCATAATACAACCTATGCTCTCAATAACAAGATTTCCTCCTATATGACACGCATCAACTGATCACTGCACACATGCAATCATGAAGCATAAGGCTGGCAGAAGGAATACCATACAATGTAAATCTATGATTGGGTGGGGACTGATTAACTAAATGGTTTGTTACTTAGATAGATATATGGAAGTCAATATTTAGGTTTATACTATATCCACCTCCCTTAGTAAGTAGTCCTAAGCTGTGATTAATCTTTTGGATTTGATAAATATCAATAACCAATATTAACCCCTTAAGGACTGATGACGGTTCAGGACCGTCACTGTAAACATCCCTTTGAGGATGGGTGACGGTCCTTAACCATCATAACGTCATTATGTACTTACCTGAACGGGGGAACGGTGGCAATCGGCGTTGCTCCCAGTCCGGGGGGACTGCCTGCAGTCTCCCCACGGCGAATTAGGACCCCGCGGCCACGTGATCGCTCTAACAGAGCGGTCACATGGCCACAATAGGTGCCTGTGTATCTGCCTGCAGAGGGACTGTCTGTGCTGCATGTGTAAAATAAATAAATAAAGTTTATAAAAAGCAATCAGTGTAAAAAAATAAAAATATATGTATATATATATATATATAAGATATATATACATGTATTATATCTATCTATAATATGTATACATATCTTATATACATAATGTCAAACTAAGTGTATTTTTATATTTATACATACATATATTAATATAAAAATACACTTATAATTAAATTACACACGTATATATATTATATATAAAATAACTATATATATTGTATATATATTATAAAATATAAATAATAAGTAAATAAAAATAAATACATTTTTTTTAAAATAATAAAAAAACTTTCTCTCTATATATATGTGTGTAATTTTATTCTAACAGTATTTTGATATTAATATATATATATATTTATATCAAAATACGCTTAGAATGAAATTATATATATATGTATAGATAAATAAAAATAATATGAAATATACATATGTCCATATACAAAATTACATTAAAAAAATTCATAAATATACACGTAGACTTCAAATACATAAATATGTATATATTTAAATTCTATGTGCATATTTATGTAATATTTTTACATAATTAAGTTATTTTATTGATTGCAATTTGAGGGACCTGCCTGACAACCCAGGCTGAAAGTCCAGAGAATTTAATTTGCTAGCACTGTGTTTAACCCTATAACTTTCTATGACACCCTAAAACCTGTACATGGGGGTACCGTTTTACTTGGGAGACTTCGCTGAACACAAATATTACAAACAGTAAAACATATCACAGCAATGATATTGTCAGTGAAAGTAATTTTTTTACATTTTTCACACACAAACGGCACTTTCCCTGATGATATTGTTGTAATACGTTTTACTGTTTTGAAACACTAATATTTGTGTTCAGCGAAGTCTCCTGAGTATAACAGTACCCCCCATGTAGAGGTTTTATAGTGTGTTTGACAGTTACAGGGTCAAATATAAGGCTTGATTTTCCTTTTTTTCTTTCTTTACATTGAAATTTGCCAGGTTGGTTATGTTGCCTTTGAGCGCGTATGGTAGCACAGGAATGAGAATTACCCCATGATGGCATACCATTTGCAAAAGAAGACAACCAAAGGTATTGCAAATGGGGTATGGTCAGCCTTTTTTAGTAGCCACTTAGTCACAAACACTGGCCAAAGTTAGCATTCAGAATATTTTTTTGAATTTTTAACACACAAACAAATATAAATGCTAACTTTGGCCAGTGTTTGTGACTAAGTGGCTACTAAAAAAGACTGGACATGCCCCATATTGAATACCCTGGGTTGTCTACTTTAAAAAAATATGTACATGTGAGGTGTGATTCGGAGATTTATGACAGATAACAGTGTTACAATGTCACTATTGATACATTTAAAAAATATATATTTTGAAACCGCAATGTCCTACTTGTACTTATAACCCTATAAGGTGCAAAAAAAAAAGCAAATAAGCATATAAACACTGGGTGTTTTTAAACTCAGGACAAAATTTTGAATCTATTTAGCAATTTTTTTCATTAGCTTTTGTAGATAAGTAAAAGATTTTAAGTAAAACTCCAAAAACATGTTTTTTTTAAAAAAAATTTCACCATATTTTATTATTTTTTTAAAAGTAAAATATATGACATGATACAAATAACAGTATGTAAAGAAAGTCCTTCTTGTCCTGAAAAAAATATATAAATTGTATCTGAACCGTAAATGAGAGAGAGTGAAATTACAGCTAAACACAAACACCACAAAAGTGTTAATACAGCTCTGGTCCTTAAAGTACAACATGGCCAAAACAATCCGGTCCTTAAGGGGTTGATTACTGATATCAACAAATCTGATAAGTTTGATGCAGCCATCAGTTGTTATCTAACACAGAAAGTCAATTACTTAATTATCACAACTAAAGCAGCCTTCTTATATAACACAGTTCTAAACCTTGAAGGAAATAATAATAGGTGAAATTGGTATGTCAAATCACTGATCACTATATTAGCATTAATTATACTTCACTGAGAGGGGGCGGAGCCTGACCGCCATGCAGAGTAGTCGCATCAGCCCGGAGCTCTGTGAAAATTAGCGATTTGTAAGCTTTCCTGTTGCGTAATCACGGCGCTGACGGGTCTCAATCCTCGTATACCTGGTAGGGCTCTCGCAGCAGCACAGCTGGGGCAACGGAGACTGTCTCCCTGTGGTAGTGATGGCTGGAACATCTTGCGGCCTAGGTAGTAGCGAGGGTGCGGGTGAAGCAGCCGATCACCCCGCCCGAAGGCCCCTTGAGCCGGAACCCGAGACTGCAGCAAACCACCCCAGATTACCTCTCCCTCCCCCGCCCCCGCCGGTGAGGGATATCCTGGCACCAGCAGGATACCTACCAGAGAGTCTTGCAAAGCATCTCTGAAGACACTCACACCAGTAACCAGCATTTCCATAATGGCGGATGCCATACTTCAGTCAGCAAGCCCCTCGGCCTCTAGAGTTCTGACGTCTCACACTCTGACTAAACTAGACAAGATTTTTGCTACCTTTCTAGCCAAAATTTCTGAGACAATGTCGACCTCTGAACCTGGCTGTCTAATATCACAGGAGTGGCAGTCAATGATGGTGTTCATTATTCTGACCTGAAAAAGATCCCTCCCACCTAAATCTTCCTCCTTTTATCCCCTGTTTCCTTATCTAAGGGCAAGTCCGAAAAGTGTAGATTAAGGTTTTTAAGCACATCTGAT